GCTTTCTCAAGCTGTGCATCAAAGCAGCTTGCTGCTGCTGTACATACAGTCATCCCTCTACTAACAGATGCAGCAAGTAATGCATCGCTGCCTCAGGTGCAGCGAGCTGCTGAAGAAGCATTAAAGACATTCAGCCAAGCTGTACGTACACCTGAACTGCAGCAGCTCGCGCTGCAGCAGATTGTTCCTACACTTGTTGACCCCACAACAGATAATATTAGAAGAACGCTTGAAGCTCTCTTAGCAATTGATTGTAGCGGGTTTAAAGAAGAAGCAGCACTGTCTCTCTGTATACCGCTGCTGCTGCGGGGCCTTGCAGAGCGCAGCAGCGACATACGCTGTAAAGCAGCAGATATTATTGCTTCATTAGGGGTTCTGTGCCAGCAGCAGCAGCAACAGCAGCAGCAGCAGCAGCAGGATTTGGTGATGCAGCCGCTGCTGCCGTATCTACCGCAGCTGCTGCCCTCGCTGCAACAAGCTCTCGGAGACCCTATTCCAGCTGTACGCTCAGCAGCAGCACGTGCATGCGGCGCATTAGCATGCGGTGTTAATGAAGCAGAGCTTGGAGATCTGCTGCAGCAGCTGCTGTCTACCCTGAGCAGCAGCGAGAGCAGCGTAGAAAGAAGCGGTGCAGCAAATGCTTTATCAGAGTTGCTGCTGGCTTGGGGGCCAGAGCGACTGCAGCAGCTGCTGCCGTTGCTGCTGCAGCATGCAACAGACACTCAAGCTCCAGCAGCAAGTCGTGAAGGTTTTCTAGGTTTGTTTGTCTTCTTACCTCGAGCATTTAAGAAAAGTTTTGATGAATTCGTCCCCAGAGTGCTGCCAGCAGTGCTGCAGGGTTTAGCAGCAGAAGAAGAAGGTGTAAGAGATGTAGCTTTGAGAGCAGCAGAAGTATGTGTGCAGCTGTTTGCTGCTACACATACAGCTCTGCTGCTAAGACCTTTAGAAGAAGGTTTATATGCTGCTGATTGGCGCATCCGGTGCAGCAGCACTCAACTCTTGGGCTTGCTGCTGCAGCGGCTGCTGCAGGGGGTTAATGAAGAAGATAATGTAGCAGCAGAAGACCTGCTGCAGACTGAAGTACTCTCTATAGAGAGAAGAAGCTATATTCTTGCGTCTCTGTTCATGATGCGCAGCGATGATAATGTAGCTGTTAGACAAACAGCAGCAGCAGCACTAAAAAAAATAGTGTCCAATACACCCAAGACGCTCAAAGAAATACTTCCTATATTAACGAGGAGGCTTATCTCAAATCTTGCTGCTCCTGCTGCGCTGCAGCAGCAGCAGCAAAAACAAAAAGCTGCAGCAAGATGTATCGGCTCTCTAACACAAAAGATTGGTGAACAAGTGCTGCCGCAGATATTACCACACCTAGAACAAGTACGTTGTCTCCTGCTGCTGTTGCTGCTGCTGCTGCTGCTGTTGCTGCTGCTGTTGCTGCTGCTGTTGATGCTGCTGCTGTTTTTGATGCTGCTCTCTACCCAGCTGTTGGTTTCTGCCGCTGCGTCTGTCTGTGAGGCAGCAGTGTCTCCCGCTGCGCTGCACCTTGTTCCCTCTGTGTTTTGCTGCTGCTGCTGCTGCTGCTGCTGCTGCTGCTGCTGCTGCAGGCTCTGGGGTCTGCAGATTCATCTGTGCGCCGGGGTGTCTGCTTGGGGCTGCTGGAAACGTTTAAGAATGGTTCACGTGCTGCACTTGCTGCTGAAGTAGATAGCTTGCTGCGGCTGCTGCGGAAGGCTCTGCAAGACAAAGACGCAAGTGTGCAGCAGGCTGCTGCTGCTGCTGCTGCTGTTTCTTTGGAGACCCTCGGGCAGGAAGCAAGCAGCAGATTGGTGCCGCCGCTGCTGCAGCAGCTGCTGCAACCGCCGCTGCTGAGTCGCGAAGATGCAGCAGCAGCAGCAGCAGCAGGAAGAGCAGCGCAGCTGCAGGGGTTGGAGCTTTTGCTGCGCGAGCAGCCGCATGCAGTGTTGCCGCTGCTGCTGCAGCAAGCAGCAATACCGCAGCAAGATGGTGCTTCTGCTTCTGTACTTGGTGCTGCTGCTGCTGCTGATCCGCAGCGTCTCTCCCGGCACCTCAATCGTATCTTTGAAGCGCTTATCGCAGGCCTGCTGCAACCCCGTACGTTGCTGCTGCTGCTGCTGCTTCTGCTGCTGCTGCTGTTGCTGTTGCTGTTGCCGTTTTTGCTGTTTGCCTTTTTTTTGTTTTGTTGCTGGTGATGCTGGTGCTGTTGGTCTCGTTCTGCTTGCTGCTGCTGCTGTTGCTGCTCATGCGGCTGCTGCTGTTACTGCGAATGCTCCTGCTGCTGCTGCTGCTGATCAGTTGTTTGTGTGTGCATTATATTTGCTTAATCTCAGGTGCTCTGGATGAGGACGGGTTTATAGCGGAGGAGTGCTTTCGCGCTGCAGCAAAGCTGCTGCAGCGGCTTGATACAGAGGGCCTCGAGGTGCTGCTGCTGCTGCTGCAGCAGCAAATGAAGGCAGCAGCACCCGTATGTGAGGTCTCCTCCACAGGGCGTCTGCAGCTGCTGCAGCACAGAAGCAGCAGCAGCCATAAACCCAGGGGCGCTGCAGGAAGCAACGGCTGCGCACCCGCACCAGCAGCAGCAGCAGCAGCAGCAGGAGCTGCTGCTGCTGAGCGTTCTCCTGACGATCCTATAACAGCAGATTTGTTCTTCGATGCTGAGGCGCTGCGCTGCAACAATGCATTTAAAGCTGCTTCAGAGACAGCAGCAGCAAACCCCAAGAGGAGGGAGATCTGCTGCTGCTTGCTGCTGGCGGTTTGCTGCTGCCGCGCGCAAGCGGAGCTTGAGAGCAATATGCAGCTGCTGCTGCAGCTGCTGCTCCCTGTTGCCTTGGCAGACCCCTCTGCTGCTGCTGCTGCTGCTGCATGCGCAGCACTCAACATACTCCTGCCCCCACTGTCTAGAGATGCGCTCGATGGCTTAATACCCTTGGTACGCTCATCTGCTGCTGCTGCTGCTGCTGCTGTTGCTGCTGCTGCTGCTAATGCTGAAGACGCTGCTGCTGTTGCTGCAAGTCTTGTTGGTGCTGCTTCAAGTACTGCTGCTGCTGCAATTGCTGCTTTATCTGCAGTTTTATCTGCTGCTTTATCTGCTGCTTTAGCTGCTGCTTTAGTTGGTGCTGCTGCTGTTTTGCTGCAGCTATATCAGGGTCTATTCCGATTGGTAGCTGATCCCTTAACAAAGCGGCCTGTGGGGGGCGAAGTGCTGCTGCTGCCTGGCCTGAGCAGCAGCAGCAGCAGCAGCAGCGAGTTGCTGCATTGCTGCATACGTGAAGGCGTGATACCGTGTTCAAGCTCCTCCTCTTCCTCAGCAGCAGCAGCAGCAGGACCTATCAGCAGCAGCTGCAGCAGCAGCTTAGCGAGTGCATTGCTAGCGGGCTGTTTGTCTCTTAATCCCAAGTGTAGAGAGGTAGCAGCAAGAAGTCTTGAGCTGCTGCTGCTGCATGCGCAGCAGCAGCAGCTAAAAACTCTCGCTATTAAAATCACCGGGCCCCTCATTCGCTGCACCGCTGACCAACTGCCAGTCAAAGTTAAGAGTGCGCTTCTAAGGGCTCTCAGGTATATAAATATATTATATTAATATAATAAATAAATAAATATATATATATATATTAATAGTATATTTGATGTATATTGTTATTAATATAACTGCCAGTCAAAGTTAAGAGTGCGCTTCTAAGGGCTCTCATGTATATAAATATATATATATATATATATGTTTACATATATATATATATATATTCATATGTAATAACTAATTATATATACATATATGCATATATATATATATAAGGAGACAGTAAAGATAATATAATAAATTAATATATGAAAAGGAGACAGCTTCTCTTTCACCACTTTCATTGTCTTTGTCTCTTGTTTTTTTTCTTTTGTCTCTGTCTTTGACTCTCTGTCTCTTTATTTGTCTCTCACTGTCTCATTATATATATATATGTATATATGTATATATGCATACTTATATATATATATATATATACATATAGATATATATATATATGTATATATATATATATACATATATATATATATATGTATATGATTCTGTTTATCTGTCTCTTTGTTTTTTTCTGTCTCCTTTTTTGTCTGTCTCTTTATTTCATTGTTTTGTCTCCTTTGACGTTGTAAGGAGGAGGCAAGACCAGCTGCCTCTCCCGCTGCTGCTGCTGCTGCTGTTGCTGCTGCTGCTGTTGGGTTGTGCTGGTGGCAATTGCCGAAGCTGATTGCTGCAAAGGATATTCTTTCTGCTGCTGCTGCTGCTGCTGTTGCTGTTGCAGGGCTTTGCTTCTGCGTGCTGGGGTGTACGTCAAGGCTTTGCTGCCGCAGCTGCAAGCAACGCTGCTGAAGTGTCTTGCTGCAGCAGCAGCAGCGGCAGCAGGAGCCACAGCTGCTGCTCTTTGCCGCTGCTGCTTGGGGCTTGTTGCTGCGCTGCACACAAGAAACCGTGTAGAGGCCCTTCTAGGAGAGCTTGCGCTGTCTATACACCCCACAGCAAACACTGCAGCAGCAGCAGCAGCAGCAGGAGTTAATACTATCTCCCCTCTCGTCGCTCTCCAGGTTCGATCCGCCTCTTGCTGTTGCTGCTGCTGCTCTTGCTGCTGTTGCTGTAGCTGCTGTTGCTGCTGCTGCTGTTGTTGCTACTATTAATGCTGCTGCTGCTGCTGCACCCCCCGGCTGACTCCAAGTTGGCGCTGCTGCTGCTGCTTCTGCTGCTGCTGGGGTGTATGTACAGGTGGTGCAGCAAGTGTTAGTAAATACGCGGGAGCCTATCGAAGACCCCGCGCTGCTGCGGGATGTTGCTGCTGCTTGCTGGGCAGCAGCAAGTGCAGCAAGAGATGAGCAGCAGCAAATCGTTGCATGCACTGCGCTGGGCTGTCTCCTCGCCCCAGCTGCACATACACCGCAAGCGCAGCAACTGCTGCAGGAGTTCATTGTGGAGGCAGCAGCAGATTTCCAAACCGAAACGCGCAAGGTAAGCTGCAGGAGCTGCTGCTGCTGCTGCTGCTGCACATGCTGCTGCGGCAAGTAATGTTGCTGCATCTGTTGCTGCTGCTGCATCTGTTGTTGCTGCTTCTGTATCTCTACCTGCTCCATGCCGCGTTGCTGCACCTGCTGCTGCTGTACCTTCGGTGCTACATGAGGAGCTGCTGCTACTGCCGCTGCTGCTGCTGCTGCTGCTGCTGCTGCTGCGTGCAGAGCGGGTGTTTGGTGTTGGCGAGTTTGCTGCGAGCTGGAAACGAGGAGCAGCTGCTGCAGTGCCCGTTGCTGCAGCAGCAGCAGCAACTGCAGGAGCTGCTGCTGCAGGTGCTAGAAGACCGATCTGCTGCTGTGCAAGCTGCTGCACTTCAGGTGTATAGGCAGCTGGTGCGACGTTCAGAGTAAGTGGTGTTTATTATTTTTCTGTTTTTTCGTCTTTTTAAATATAAAGACCCTATTAATGTTTATTTATATTATAATAAAAATAATTTTAAAAATAATATATATATATATATATATACATATATATAAATATATATATATATATATATGTATATAGAGCGCCCATGGGTTAGGGTTTAGGGTTTATGTTTTGCTGTTTGTTTGTTGTCTCTTTGTTTCTGCTGCTGCGTGCAGCAAACAGCAGCAGCTGCTGGATGTTTGCTGGGCCCTGCTGCCGCCTGTGGAGGCAGCAGCAACAGCAGCAGCAGCAGCAGCAGCACAAGCTGCAGGTGAATGGGGTCCTGTCAGTGATGCTCTTGTAGCAGCAAGACGGCTCTGTAGGGCATCGCCGCATCTGCTGCAGTCGCCGCCAGCAGCAGCAGCTGCTGCTGCTACTGCTGCTGCACAAATATGCGAGCTTGCCTTCTCTAATCTCTACTCAACCAACCCAGCTGTGAAGTTACAGGCAAGCTTGCTGCTGCTGTTGTTGCTGCTGCTGTGCGGGTACTGCTGCTGCAGAGTAGGTTGGTGTGTAGCTCATTCTGACGTTTCCCTGGTTTGCTGCTGCTGCTGCTGCTGCTGCTGCTGCAGGCTGAGCAGCTTCTGCTGCAGCTGCTGCGCTCGCGTGCTGGCAGCAGCGGGGTGACTGAGGAGGAGGCGAACGCGCTGCTGAATGATGTAGAAAACAGCAGCAGCAGCAGCAGCATTACAGGACGGCGGCTGCAGCAGCTAGGAGACTACCTGTTTAGGGTGCTGCTGCGCGTGCATGCGGACGCAGCAGCAGCAGAAGCAGCAGACAGCGGAGATGAAGCAGCATTCGCAGCACTTGCTGACGAGCCTGAACTAATTGATGATAATTGGGAGGTCTTCCTGTAAACAAATGCATGCATTTGCTGCAGCAGCAGAAGCAGTAGCACCACATGCAGAAGCAGCAGCAGAAGCAGCAGCAGAAGCAGCAGCAACCGTAGCACTTGCTGCTGCAGCATCTGCTGCTGCACCACAACAACAGCACTTGCTGTTGCAGCATATGCTGCTGCACCACAACAGCAGCACTTGCTGCAACGTCTGCTGCTGTACCACACAACAAGCAGCTGCTGCTGCTGTGCTGCAGCAGCAGTAGCTGCTGGTGCAACTGCAGCAGCACCTCTTTTATGTGCGACTTCGGGGTATGCGATTGCAGCCCTCTATTAATTGCCTTTGAGGCTGTTGTATCCTGCTGCTGCTGCTGCTTCACGTGCTGGTGTTGCTGCTGCTAATGTTGCTGCTGCTGTTGTTGCTGCTGCTGCTTCTGCTGCTACAGCTACGGCTGCTTCATGTTGCTGCTGCTGCTTCTGCTGCTACAGCTACGGCTGCTTCATGTTGCTGTGCGTATCTGTTTGCTTATGCTTGTTTGTTTTTTATATATTTATTAAATAAATAAATAAATAAATAAATAAAATTATTTAATTTGTTTCGTTTGTTTATTCCTTTTCTTTTAACACTTTGTTTGTCTTTCTCTTCTGCGAGCTGCCCCAAACCCTAAACCCTAAACCCTAAACCCTAAACCCTAAGGGTCTCAATCATCTTCGGGTAGTGCATTTGCATCATCTTCAAATAATTCAACATTCTCCCAAAATGCAGACCCTGTGCACAAACAAAAACAGCAGCAGCAGCAGCAGCAGCAGTAGCAGCAGCAGCAGAAACAGCAGCTGGACTGCAACGGTACTAGCGGATTCGCCCTCGTCAGCAGCAGCAGCAGCATTAGCAGCAGCAGCATTAGCAGTAGGAGCATTAGCAGCAGCAGCATGATCAGCAGCATCGTTATATTGTATGTAGATGCGTACCATCGGGTTCGTTATCTGCTGCAGCAGCAGCAGCGGCAGCAGCAGCAGCACTTTCAGTAAAGATCTGCTTCCCTGTGATAACATCGCTTTTGTTTGAAGAGGCCCAAATGCCCTTCGCCTGCATCTCCGCAGCAAATGCTGCAGCCCATCTGCAAAACTCTTCGCGAGTGCATCGCTCCTATACAAACAAACAAATATAATTATTATATATATATATATGTATATATTTGTTTGTTTATTTATTTTATATTTATTTATTTTTATGTTTATCTATTTATATTTATATATTTATATTTGCTTACACTGGCAGGGCAGAGAGTTCTCTCTCTAAATCTTATAATTATATTTATAATAATTATATTTATATATATTTATATTTATATTTATATATTTATATTTATATGTTTATATTTACATATTTATATTTATATATTTATACTTATATTTATATTTGCTTACGCTGGCAGGGCAGAGAGTTCTCTCTGCTGGGCCTCTGGCGGAGGCATCAATTTGCTGCTCCAGGCTGTCTTCATCTTCGTCTGCTGCTGCTGCTGCTGCTTCTGCTGCTGCTGCTGCTGCTGCTGGCTGCTGCTGCTGCTGCTGTCGGTTTAGCATTTGATCGTACATCGACTCTGTGGGTTTATTCTTTTCACGCAAAAATTCCTAAAGACAAACAAATAATATAAAATATAAATAAAAATATAAATATAAATATAAATATATATATATATATATATTTATTTATTTATTTATAACACCAAATGAAAATATTGAAAAGGCAGCAACAACAACATTTCGTCTGTTTGACAGGGTTTGTTTGCTCTTTAATATTATATTTATTTATTTATTTATTTATGTATTTATTTATTTAATCAAATAAATACTAAGTATACACAATTTAATTAATATTTTAATATTTTAACTTAAATTAACAAATAAACAATAAATATATTACAAATGTGTAAATATATTATTATATCTATTTAAACAAACAAACAAACAAATAAACAAATAAATAAATAAATAAATAAATAAACAGACAAACAAACAAACAAACAAACAAACAAATAAACAAACAAATAAGCAAATAAACAGACACACAAATAAATAACTAGAAAAATAATAAATAAATAAATAATAAATAATAAACAAACAAACAAATAAATAAATAAATAAATAAATAAATAATAAATAATAATATACTTCTTACTACGACTACTTGAGCAGCAGAAAATAGCATAGGGCTGCCGATATTATTTTTTAATTCTTTGTCAATTTTCTTCTTCACATCTTCGATGTCTGCTTCGCTTAAACCCTTCGCTGATAAACATATAAACAAATAAATAATAAATAAATAAATAAATAAATAAATAAATAAATAAATAAATAATAAATAAATAACAAATAATAAATAAATATAAGAGTGATAGACTTGTATGCAAATAAATAAATAAATAAATAAATAAATAAATAAATAAATAAATAAATAAATAAATATATCAATTCAAAATACAAATAAAGAAGTAAATAAATAAACACATCGGAAACAGCTAGCTAGCTAGCTGTGACTAAGAACAACTACCTGGCTCAGTACCTAGCTAGCTAGCTAGCTAGCTGTAGCTAGTTAGTTAACTAACAGAGGACTAACAAGCTATCTTAGTAGCTATCCAGCTAGCTGTGATGATGGCTAGCTAGCTAGCTAGGTTTGAGTGGTGTGTCTGTGTCTCTATTATATATATATAATATATATATATATATATATATATATTCATATATATACATATATTTATATTCATATATATATATATATATTTATATACATATACACGTATTTATATTCATATACATATATATATACTTATATTCATATACATATATATATAAATATTTATATTCATATATATATATATATGTCTTACATGCAGCAATATACCAGTCGGGGAGGTCGTGCGGATATTGTGGGGTGAATTCGAAGTGTATTGACAGCTGACAAATATTCTTCGGGTGATTTTCTTGCAACTCGCCGAAAGGTAAAAGCCGAAGAAGACAAGCAGAAGAAGATAGTTGAGTATACTCTCCAGGGTGAGGCAGCAGAGCAGCAAGAGCTATCATCTCGTCTTCTTGATCTTCTTTGTTTTGTTCGAGACCCATTTTCTTACATCAAACGCAACTTATATATATATATATATACTATACTGTACAATACACTCCGATGCTGCTTATATACCACTGCTTTTGCTGCTGTTGTTGCTGTTGCTGCTGCTGCTGCTGCTGTTTGCTGTGTCTCCTCTTGCTGCTGATGATGCTACTGATGCTGATGATGCTTCACTGGAGTCGTGCAAACTAAGTCAGAAGGATTATGTACACACTCGAGATGGATCGACTCCGGGATCGCCTTTGGGATCGTCCCCTGGATCGTCTCTGGGATCGTGTGTGGGGTCGCGTGTGGGGTCGTGTCTGGGATCGTATGTGGGATCGTCACTAAAAGCAACTTTAAGATCGGGATTAGGATCGGGGTTGGGATCGGGTGGGGATCGTGCTGGGGATCGTCTCCGTGCGTTTGTTTATAGCTGCTGATGGTTTATCTGCTGAGCTGCAGCAGAAGAAGAAAGACAGAAAAAGAAAAACAAACAAACAGACAGTAAAGTAGAGGACCCTGTACAGGCGGAGATTGTGGGGCCTCTGAGGTGTATAGGCAGACACCTCGTGGGTTTATTTAAAAGAAAAAAACAAAGAAAAGAAGAAAAAGAAGAAATAATTTAAACAACAACAGAGTCAAGTATCTGAGGGAAGCTGCAGCAGCAGCAGCAGCAGCAGCAGCAGCAGCAGCAACGACAACGGAGGACGGCTTCTCTTTCTGTCTTTGTTTGCATGCATGCAGAGAAAAAATAAATATAAAAAATAAAACTAAATAAACACACAACAATAAAAAACAAATAAATAGACAGCGAACAGTCTCCTGCTGCAAGGGCCCACTCTGCTGCTGCTGTTTCTTTCTTGCTGCTGCTGCTGCTGTTTCTTTCTTCTTGCTGCTGCTGCTGCAGCTTCAGGTGTATGTACACCTCAGCTTCCCTTCTCTTTAGGTGCATATACACCTCAACTTGCATTTCTTTTCAGCTGTACAGACAACTCACAATTTGCTCCTTTCTCGCTGCAGCTGCTGCTGCAACAGAGACACCTGCTGCACCAGCAACAACAGCAGCAAAACCTACAGCAGCAGCAGCAGCAGCAGCAACAACTGTGCTTGTTGCTGTGTTGAGGCAACAAGGAGACAACTGCATCACTGAATAGCTCAACTAGCAGCAGCAGCAGCTACACCACCAGCAGCAGCAAAAACAATAACAATAGCACGCACAGCGTTAGCGGGGGGTCAATAGCAGAAGCAGCAGCAGCAACAGCAGCAACAGCAACAACAATAGAAGCAGCAACAACAACAGCAGCAACAACAGCAGCAACAGCAGTTAGCTGGACTGGTTCTGCTGCAGCCAATGCTGTCTTCGTACGCCCAAGCAGGGCTTTCTGCTTACTTCTTTGCTGCTGCTGCAGCAGCAGCAGCAGCATCATGAGCAGAAGCGGAAGCAGCAGCTGCAGCACTTGCAGCAGCAGCAGCGGCAGCAGCAGCGGCAGCACCAGCTGCAGGAGCTGCAGTAGCAGCAGAACAGAAGCAACAACGGAGGCTTCAGCTGCTGCAGCAGAGTGTGCAGCTGTTGCTGCCGATGCTGCTGCTGCAGCAAAGACCGAGCCTCGTGGAGGTGGTGCTGGTTTGCTTTCTCTGAATGACAAGCTGCTGCTGCTGCTGCTGCAGTGGCTGCCGCTGCGGGAGCAGCAGCAGCTGCTGCTGCTCTCTCGCGGGGTGTACAGACAGCTCTGCACCATCCCTTTTATTACTTCATTTTGCTGCCCCCCAGGCAGCAGCCTGCAGCAGCTAGTGCAGCAGCACATTCACCATCCGCTGCTGCTGCAGCAGCATTTGCTGCTGCAGCAGAAACAGCAGCATCTGCAGCAACTCAAGTCCCACCTGCAGCAGCAGCAACAGCTGCTCCAGCTACAACACAACCAAAAGCACCAGCAGCAGCATCAGCAGCAGCAGCAGCAACAGCAGCAGGAGCAGCAGCAACGGCACAGCCCAGTGCAGAAGAGAGTTCTTGATAGAGAGCAGCAGCAGGAAGATAGCCCGTGCAGCAAGAGAAAAAGAGACGCAGCGGCTACTGCGGCTGCACCTGCTGCTGCTACTGTTGCACCTGCTGCTGCTGCTGCAGTAAGTGGGGACGGCAGGAACGGCAGCAGCAAAAAATGTGCAAGCCTTTTTGCTACAGCAGAAGCAGCAGCAGCAGCAGGCGGCGCTGCAATGTCTGGTGTTGCTGCTGCAGCCCCTGAAGCGCCTTCTGGGGACCAGCAGCAGCAGCAGAAGCAGCAGCAGCAAACACTTCCGCAGCAGCAAGCGCAGCAGCAGCTGGAACAGCAGCAGCAGCAGCAGCAGGAGCAGCAGCAGCAGGATGGAATTGAGGTGTATCTGCAGCGTTGTCCTCTGCTGCATCGCTTTATTAAATGCCGCTCTGTTGAGTTGGCTGTGGGTACCCATCTGCAGCCTTCACCGCTGCTGCTGCTGCTGCTGCTCTGCTGCAGCAACACGCTGCAGCGGCTGGTTGTGCGGGGCTACGATGAAGGCAGCTTCAGGTTCCGCAGGCGCATGCAGCTGCAGCAGCAACAGCTGCAGCAGCAGCAGAACAGGGAGAAGCAGCAGCAGCAGCAGCAGAAAGAGCAGCTACTGCAGCAGCAGCAGCAGGACAAGACAGGCGCTGCCGTCCCCGCAGCAACGCCTACCACTGACGTGGTGCGCAGCAGCGACAGTAACAGCAGCAACAGCAGCAACAGCAACGGCAGCCCCAGCAGCACAAACAGCAACGGCAGCTCCGGCAGCAGCACCAACTGCAGCGGCGGCTGCAGCATTAGCAGCAACAGCAACGGCAACACCAACAACAACAACAACAACAGCAGCAGCAGCAGCAGCAGCAACGCATCTGGAAGTGCGGTATGTTCTGCTGCTGCAGCATTACCTGAGTGTTGGCGATCTACGAAGCTGTGGGTGCCAGCAGCAGCAATGGAGGCTTTGCTGCTGCGCTGCAGCAGCAAACTTGAGCAGCTGCTGCTGGACTTGTCTCTTCGTCGAGGGTTTGGGCTGTCTCCTTTTGCTGAGCTGCACCTTCACTTTAATTTGCATGCGCTTAAAGAAGTTGAATTAGTTAATATAACCAGACATAACTTCAGGTACAACTGCTGCTGCTGCTGCTGCTGCTGCTGCTGCTGCTCTTGTTACTGCTATGGAGTTGGTTTATATCATCAGGCACAACTTCAGGCACTCTGCTGCTGCTGTTTTTGCTGCTGCTTCCGCTGGTTTAGCCTTGCTGCTTTAGCAGCAGCTGCTGCTGTTGCAGCTAGCCTCACATTTGCTGCTGCTGCAGTTTCTGCAGCCATTCTGCTGCAGGAGCTGCAGCGCCAGCGCCCCTGTAGCTAGCTAGCTAGGTAGCTTACAGCTGGCTAGCTAGCTAGCTAGCTAGCTGCTGCTGCTGCAGTTGTTTGTTTGTGCTGCTCAGCTGCGGGGTTTGTTCGTTGCCTTCGCTGCAAGTGCTGCGGCTCCACTGGGCGGACGTCTGCCCCAAACAGCACAAACTAGGGTATGCAGCAGCAGCAGCAGCAGCAGCAGCAGCAGTAGCAGCAGCAGCAGCAGCAGTAGCAGCAGCCTCCCCCCATGTTGTTAATGGACATTTTGCTGCAGCAGTGGGAGTTCTGCAGCAACTTCTGCATCCTGGAATTGTGATTGTGACGTTTTGCTGCTGCTGCTGTGCTGCTGCTGCTGCTGTGCTGCTGCTGCTGCAGGCTGCTGCTGCGGGGCTGCCCTTCTTTGCGGTGGCTGTGCGTGCATGCAGACTGCGACGATGATGAGGCGGTGGTGCAGGTTACTTCTTTGTTTGCTGCTGCGCTGCAGCAGCTGCTGCAGCAGAAGCAGCAGCAGCAGCAGCAGCAGCAGCAAGAACAGCAGACGAGAGGAGCAGCGCCGCCGCGCTGCTTGATGACGGACGCAGCAGCAGAAGCAGCAGCAAAAGCTGTTGCTGCTGCAGCAGAAGAAGAAGGCCTCATGCCTCTCCCGCTGCTGCAGCAGCTGCAGCTTCCGCTGCTGCCAGCAGCAGCAGTGCCGCTGCTACGTGCTGCAGCACCAAACCTGCGGGTGCTGCGCCTGGTGCATGCAGACAGTCACAGGTAACCCTAAACCCTAAACCCTTAACCCTAAACCCTAACCCTGCACCCTAACTCGAAACCCTAAACCCTGATCTTAAGCTCTAAACCCTTACCCTACCCTGTGAATGGCGTCCCTTAACCCAAACCCTAAACCCTCGCACTGAAACTCTAAACCCTAATCTTCACGCTAAAGCTTAGCCAGGACGGCGCAGTCTCGAACTCTCCAGCACGGAGCGCTGCTGCTGCTGCTGTTGTTGCTGCTGCTGCTGTTGTTGCTGCTGCTGCTGCTGCTGGTTAGCTGCAGTGGATTCGTACCGCATGCAGCAGCACCCAACCTGCAAGCCCCGCATGTTGCTGTTGCTGATGTTTTTTGCTGCTGCTGCTGCTCAGGACGAGAAGGGGTCTGCTGCCGCTGCAGCTTGCAGCGCAGCAGCTGCAGCAGCTGCAGCAAATTGTATTTCCGTCACCTGTAGAATTTGCTCCTGTGGGGATGCTGCCCAGAAGTCCTGCTGCAGCAGCAGCAGGAGCTGCTGCTGCTGCTTCAGATGACAATGCAGAGGGCGATGAGCCTCCGCTGCGTGGCGCAGCAGCAGACGCAGCAGCTGCAGCTGTAGCAGCTGCAGCAGCAGCAGCAGCAGCAACGGATACCGATGCATCTGCTGGTGTCCTGCTGCTTCAGGGCCCCATCTCCGACTTCTTCATTCGATGCAGATAAGGGAGAAGCTGCTGCAGCAGCAACAGCAGCAACAGCAGCAACAGCAGCAGCAGCAAGAGCAGCAACAGCAGCAACAGCAACAGCAGCAGTAGCAGCAGCTTCAGCAGCAGCAATTTCTTTAGCGCGATATGCTTCGCTGGATTGCAGCGGAGGCGCGAACTAGAGTTTTTCCTGTCAATTGTTTGAAGGTTTAGGGTTTAGGGTTTAGGGTTTAGGGTTTAATAAATGGGGCTGGGGTTTATTTTGAGGGTTTAGGGTTTAGGTCGCTGGCCTAGAGTTTAATGTGAAGCGGCGTTAGGGTTTAGTTCGAGGGTTTAGGGTTTATATTTACGGTTTGGGCTTTTGCCTAAGAGTATAGGGTTTAGGGTTTAGGGTTTAGGGTTCATCTGATTAATGTTCAAGGTTTACTTTAATAGTTAAGGGTTTATTGTTAGGGTTTAGGGTTTAGGTTGAGGGTTTGGGGCTTAGGTTGAGGGTTTAGGGTGCATGGTAAGGCTTTAGGGTTTAGGGTTTAGGGTTTCGTTTGAGAGTGTAGAGCGTATGGATAGGGTTTAGGGTTTAGGGTTTAGAATGAGGGTTTAGTTTGGCTGAGGGTTTAGGGGTGGATAGAGATGCAGCACGCCTAGGTGGCTGCTGCATTTGCTGCTGCTGCTGCTGCGTTTGTTGCTGCTGACGTTGTTGCTGCGGCAGTTGTTGCTGCTGCAGTTGCTGTTACTGCTGCATTTGCTGCGGCTATTGCAGTTGTTGCTGCTGCAGTTGCTGCTGCTGCAATTGTTGCTAATGCTGCACTTGCTGCTGCTGCACTTGCTGAGACCGCTACAGCTGCTGCTGCTGTAGTTGCTACTGCTGCTGCATTTGCTGCTACTGCTGCAATTGATGCTGCTGTAGTTGCTGCTGCTGCTGCATTTGCTGCTACTCTTGTAGTTGTTGCTGCTCCTGCAGCTGTTGCTGCTGCACTTGCTGCAGCTGTTGCTGCTGCTGCACTTGCTGCTGCTGCTGCAGCTGGTGGGGTATTGTTTATACGTTTGCTGTTTGGTTGCATTTTTTTGTCTTCTATCTTTGTTTGTTTGTCTTTGTATTTATTTATTTATTTATTTATTATTTGTTTATATCTGTTTGTTTATTTATTTGTTTATATATATATATACATATATATATATATATTTATACATATATATATATATTTATTTATTTATTTGTTAATGTCTTTGTTTATTTATTTAATTATTTTCGTCGCCTTTCTTTTTTTGAGTTTGTTTGGATGTGTCTGCTCTGTTTGTTTTGCTGTCTCTGGGGGAGGGAGGCCTTCTAAACCCTAAACCCTAAACCCTAAACCCTAAACCCGCAGTGTAGCATGGTACACGCAACACCACCTGCAGCAGCAGCAGCAGCAGCAGCAACAGCAACAACAGCAAAACCAGCAGCCGCAGCAACGCCAGCAGCAACAGCAGCTGCAGCACCACCACCACCGACACAAACAGCACCAGCAGCAGCAACACCAACAGCAGCAGCAGCAGCAGCAAGGACATTTGCTGCTAATATGCAGAGAATGAAGCAGCAAACCCTTTTAGGGTTTCTGCATGCAGCCCCAGGCGACCAACCCCACCGCAGCACCACCATGGGGAGCAGCAGCAAACAGCAGCAGCAAATTTATTTAATTAAATTAATTTAATATTCATAAATGAACTTATTTATGTTGCAGCATGAAGAAGACAAGCGGAAAACTGCGATAGTAAACCCTAAACCCTAAACCCGTCGTCAGGGCACCCGTCTAAACCCTAAACCCTAAACCCTAAACCCTAATCCCTGAAGTTGTTGAATATCTTTGCTTGTTTTTTTCTTTTTATATATTTTCTTCCTGCATGCAATATCTTGCATGCATTTGTGTTTTATTTTAAAATAAGATTACGCAGCAAGCTGCATATACAGCTCAATTAATCTGCTGCTCTGCCCTCAGTCTTGAGGTGTACACGCACCTCAAAGAGATGCTGTGGCGCTTAGGGAGATTTACCTACAGACGCGGCAGCAAAGAAAGAATTCAAGCAGCTGTCTTCTCTCCGCCCTTTCCCGTGCAGCAGCAGCAGCAGCAGCAGCAGCAGCAGCAGCTGTTGGCAATAGCTGTAGCACCAGCAGCACCAGCAGCAGCAGCAGCAGCAGCCTCACCGGAAGCAGCAGCAGCAGCAGCAGCAGTTCCGGCTGCTGCTGCTTTAGCTGCGGAATATGCGTCTGTGGTAAGTGAGCTGAGGGAGCTGATCAACCATGCAGCAGCAGCAGCAGCAGCAGCAGCAGCAGCAACAGCAGCACCTGCTGCTGTTGCTACTGCTGCTGCTGCTTTGGCGCGACTGCAGCAAGTGCAGCAGAAGTTATGTGAGCGTCTCGTCTTGCTGCAGCAGCAATTTAAAGGTCTTCAGGTGTCTGTACACTGCAACGGGCCCGGCGCCGAAGTCTTTGATGTGCAGGTCAGCATAAACCCTAAACCCTAAACCCTAAACCCCCTTTTCTTATTTCAGGCTAAGAACGGCTGCGAGTTTGCTGCGTTCCCTTCTGAGGGTTTGTGATATCGTAATTAAACCCTAGTACTACTCAAGGTGTAGCAGCTGGATTAGGGTTTAGGGTTTAGGGTCTAGGGTCTAGGGTTTAGGGTTTAGGGTTTAGGGTTGTCTGAGTTGCGGCACAGAACGACCCGAAGCTCCTCTGGCGGCAGGGGCTTCCAGATGTCTGCAGCAGCGCGGCCTTCAGCGCGCCTGATCAGCAGCAGCAGCTGCAGCAGCAGCAGCTGGCTGTGGGGCTGAGTTGTGGAGGACTGCTGCTGCTGGGGGGCCGCGATGGCTCCCTTGTTGCATGCAGGAGGAGACACGCGCACTTCAGCAGCAGCAGCAGCAGCAGCAAGGACGCGAATGTGCTAGACGATGCAGCCACCGCAGAGCAGCAGCAGCAGCAGCAGCAGCAGCAGCAGCAGCAGCAATTGCAGCTGGCAGAGCAGCAGCAAGCGGTTCAGAAAGGAGGGGGGGCGCTCTTGGACAGTCCCTTGCTGCAGCAGCAGCAGCAGCAGCAGCAGCAAGAGGTGCAGCTGCGGCTGTTGGCGTTCAAGGCAGAGACTGGCGAGATGCTGCAGCGCGCTCTGCTGCAGTTAGAATGGCTAACGGTGCAGCAGCAGCAGGAAAACGAGCAGCAGCAGCAGCAGCAGCAACAGCAGCAGCAGAGTTGGGAGCGAGCAGCAGTTGTGGCGCTGCAGTGGTTTCAGGTAGAGTTGCTGCAGCAGCAGAGCCCTCTGCTTGATGGAGTTGTATCTGCTGCTGCTGCTGCTACGCTGCAGCCAGAACCCTTATGTATTTCTGCTGCTGCTGCTGCTGCAGCAAGAGATATCGTAGGCAGAAGCAGCAACTGCAACAAAAACGGCAGCCGCAACAGCAGCAACAGCAACTGCAGCCCAGGCGGCGGTGCTGTCATGCTGCAGCCTCCTAACTTCAGCAGCAGCAGCAGCAGCAGCCGTGCAGTGCAGTTCCTGTTGTCTGCAGATGCTGCTGGCTGCTGCTGTTTCTCTTTAAAGGGGTTGCTGCCGCTTGTTTCGCTGCAGCTGCAGCAGCTGCTTCCTCCTGGAGACACCCCGCTGCTGCAGCCCCAAGTCTCTCGCCACTTCTGCTGCATGCAACAGCAGCAGCAGCAGCAGCAAGAGCAACACCAACAGCAGCAGCAGCAGCAGGAACACAAGTTGCTGCTGCATGCGCCAGCCTCCCCAGCAAAAAGGAAGAGAGCCGCGACTCCCTTAACGCCTCGGCTGCAGCGCGTAAATGGAAGCAGCAGCAACAGCAGCAGCAGCAGCAGCAACAGCAGCAGCAGCAGCAGCTTTGGCTGCAGCACCAAAAGCAGAGAAGGAGATGAAGGGGCTCTGAACGGCCGATCGACTCCGCTGCGTCGGAGCCTGCAGCAGCAGCGAGACATTCCACGCAGACCAGCAGCAGCAGCAGCAGCAGCAAAACCTGCAGCAGCATCAGCAGCAACAGCAGCAGCTGCTGCAGCAGCAGCAACAGCAGATGCTGCGCGCACACCCGATGCTTCGTGGCGCAGCGTCCTTCTCTCGCAGCTTCATTCTTCTCGCTCTGCTGCAGGAGCTGAAGAGGGGTCTCTACCTTGTTCAGACACTGCAGCAGCAGCAGCAGCAGCAGCAGGGAAGCAGCAAACCCCTTTTACGTCCGCCCCGTTGCGTCAGTTGCTGCAGCAGCAACTGCTGCAGGTTCGCGCTGTCTCTCTGTGCCCGTCTATGGAGTGTCTCGCCTTCCTGCTTACCCCATCCGACTCCGCCGCTGCTGCTGCTGCTGCTGCTGCTGCTGCAGATGGCCGTGTGGGGTGTTCAGAGAGCAGCAGCAAACAGGATTATGACGCTCAGCAAGACACCACCACCACCACAGCAGCAGCAGCAGCAACAGCAGCTGCTGCTGCAGCCGTGCCTGCAGTGACAAGCCGAGCTGCGGGCAAGCCTTTGAGGGAGCAGCAGCAGCAGCAGGAGCAGCAGCAACGGCAGCAACAGCAGCAGCTGCTGCAGCGCGGTGGTTTTTTGGTGCTTCTCTCCTTACCTCAGGTATTTCTTCAGCTGCACGTTGAGGTGTATGTACACCTCGCAGTGCAGCAGCAGCTGCTGCACAACAGCAGCAGCAGCAACATGCACAGCAGCAGCAGCAACAGCTGCAGCGACAGTAGCAACAGCACTCTGGGGGTTTGTTGTGCGTGTGCTGCAGCTGCCGGCGCTGCTGCAGAGCGCTCCTGCTGCGCTGCTGCTGCTGGAGGCAGCAGCAGACGACGCAGCATTTGCTGCGGCGGCGCTGCAGCAGGTCCAGGGCCTTTGTGCTGCTGCTGCTGCGCGTGCTGCTGCTGCTGCTGCTGCTGATAGGGAAGCTGCTCCCTCTTTTCAGCTGCTGCATCCAGACGGTACACTCGTAACTCAGCAGCAGCAGCAGCAAAAGGCTGCAGCATATCAGCAGGAGGGGCTGCAGGCAGCTGCGGCCACCCTTCTCCCATCGAAGACAGAGGCAGCAGCAGCAGCAGCAGCAGCTGCTGCTGCTGCAGCAACAGCGGAACCTGACGCTGCTGGTTTTCCTGCTGCTTCTGCGCCTGGATTTGCTGCTGCAGAAGCGGGGTGCTTCTCACCTGCTTCGTGCAGCGGGCAGATAGAAGTGCAGCGGCAGCAGCAGCAGCAACAACAACAACAGCAGCAGCAGCAACTGCCCGAGCAAACACCCTGTAGCTGCATAAGCGGAAGGTGAGGGCCTGCTGCTTCAGCAGCAACATGCCTTGCTGCTGCAGCGTCTGTCCTTGTGATGTGGCGCTGCTGCGGCTGTTGTTGCTGCTGTTGCTGCTGCTGTTGCTGCTGCTGCTGCCTGTGCAGAAGGCTTACGCTTTTGTTCAGTGGTTCTGCTGCTGCTGTACGCAGAGGCTACGCGCCGGAGTCTCTCACGCCCACCTCAGTAGGTCAAGGGTTTAGGGTTTAGGGTTTAGGGTTTAGGGGTTTAGGGGGATTGAGAAATAAAGTAGGGCGCTGTAGGGTTTGTCAGGGTTTACCCGAGGGTTTATATATGAGGGTTTATGAGAGGGTTTACACAAACATATACATTAAGGTTTATGTTAGGGTCTATATTAGGGTTTAGGGTTTTAGGGTTTAGGGTTTAGGGTTTAGGGTTTAGGGTTCTAGATGGTTTATGTGAGGGTTTACGTGAGGGTTTAAGAGAGGGTTTACTGCGATTCACAAGGATTGCTTAAAGTTTGTACGGGCATGTAAAACTATATTAGGGTTTACATAAGGGTTTATAAGGGTTTGCTAGGGTTTATTAGGGTTTATTAGGGTTTGTAAGGGTTTATTAGGGTTTATAAGGGTTTATTAGGGTTTATTAGGGTTTATTAGGGTTTTGTTATTTTGTTAGGGTTTATGAGGGCTTTTTAGAGCTGAGGGATTAGGGTTTAGGGTTTAGGGTTTAGGGTTTGCTGCGCGCTTCAGGCGGTTCAGCTGCTGCAGATGACGTTGGTGCTGCAGCGAAGCTTCCTCCCTGCCGTTTGTCGCGCGAGACTCTGGGCAGATGCAGCAGCAGCAGCAGCAGCTGCTGCTGCTGCCGCTGCTGCTGCTGCTACTCCCTGTTCTTCTGCTGCTGCCGCCGGTTCTGGTGCTGCAGCCTTCTCGACCTTGAGCACCGAAGAATCTCCTGCAGCAGCAGCAGCAAATGGAGCAGCAGCAACAGCAGATGGAGCAGCAGTAGCAGCAGATGCAGATACGGCAGCAGCAGCAGCAGCAGCAGCAGCAGCAGCAACGGCAGCAGCAGACGCACGTCAGCTGTCAGCGAAGCTTTTACGTTTGGGGGATTCTGCATGTAAGGCCTCTGTCATACTCGCGCAGCCTTTTTGCTGCTTGAAGCAGCGAAATTCACGCTGCTGCTGCTGCTGCTGTTGCTGCTGCTGCAGGTGGGCTTGCTGCTGACTTGGAGTTAGCAGCAGCGCAGATGGAGAGACAGCAGCAGGAGACAAACGCGAAGAATATTCACTCAAGTGTCTGCTGCTCCTCTTTGGCTCTCGCGCCCCTCTACCAGCAAAGCAATAAGGTCTGTTGCTGCTGCTGCTGCTGCTGCTGATTCTGCTGCTGCCGCTGATTCTGATTCTGCTGCTGCTGGTGCAAGTGTTGCTGCTGTGTGTGTTGGCGATTTAAGGGTCAGCAACCCGGCGGAGGCTATTCTTGCTGCTGCTGCTGCGACTGCTACGCCTGCTGCTGCTGCTACGCCTGCTGCTGCTGCTTCAACGCCTTCTGCTGCTGCTGCTGCTGCTGCAGTGACAAAGCCAGTGTGTGCGTGGAGGCTTCAGGCGGTACGCCAGATGCAGCATTTGTTGCTGGAGTTGAGGCAGCTGCAGCAAGAGATAAAGAGATTGAGGTATATGTCTTCTTCTATAGTGCAGCAGCAGCAGCAACAGTAACAACAGCAACAATAACAGCAACAGCAGCAGCTGCTGCTGAACGCGCAAACGGCAAGCACCATCAGTAGCCATATTAGCAGCAGCAGCACATGCAGCACCAGCAACAGCAGCATAAACAGCAGCAGCAGCAGCAGCAGCAGCAGAGTTGTGTGTTCTTGTCTTTGTTGTAGGGGCCTCATGTTGAAGGGTTTCTGCATAAGCGGAGGCGCTGTTGTTGCTGCGCTGCAGCTGCCAGAGTTTGCTGCTGCCTCTCCTGCCCACCTGCTGCCGGTGTCTGCTGCTGCTCTAGCAGACGTCGCAGCAGCAGCAGCAGCAGCAGCAGCAGAAAACAAGCAGCAGCAGATGCGAGACCGCAGCCCTTTTCCTTCCCAACAATCTGCTGCTGGAGGCTTCGCCGTCTGGTGGGCTTCAAACGCAGCAGCAGCAACAGCAGAAGCAGCAGCAACAGCAGCAGCGCCAGCAACAACAGCAGCAGCAGCAGCAGCAACAGCAGCAGCGCCAGGGGGGCCTTCCGCTTCTGTGCCGACGTGGCTGTCCCGCTGCTGTATTGACATTGCTGCTGCTGTTGCTGCGGCTAGGGCTGTACGCAGCAGCAGCAACCACAACAACAGCAGCAGCAGCAGCAGCAACAGCAGCAGCTCCGGCGGGGCACCCCGAGTCGACAGCTGGCAGTTATCGTTCAGCGCACAAGAGAGCAGCGGCAGCAACCACAGCAGCACCAGCAGCAGCAGCAGCACAGCAGCAAGCAGCAGCAGCAACAGCAGCAGCAACAGCAGCAGCAGCAGCAGCAGCAGCAGCAGCTTTCCTTCTGTTGATGGGTGGCAGCCAAGTGATTGTCTCTCGCAGCTGCAAGACATTTTTGCTGCAAGCGCCAGGGAAGTCTGCGCTGTAGCCGCATGCAGCAAAGACCCTGTGCTTCTGCTGCTGCAGCAACAGCAGCAGCAGCAGCAACAGCAGCAGCAGCAGCAGCAGCAGCAGGGAGTGCATGCAATCATCAGGAGATTGCAGGGCTTCTCAGGGTTGCGGGGCTGCACCCCCCGCGATCTGCGGCTGTCCATCGAACCCGTAACTGTTAGCAGCACCACTATTTATTTATTTATTTATTTTGTTTGTTTGTTTATTTATTTATTTTGTTTATTTATTTATTTCTTTTGTTTGTTTGTTTGTTCGGTTATTTGCTTGTTTATTTATTTTGTTTATTTGTTTGTGCATCCATTTGTTTATTATGTTTATTTCTTTATTTTGTTTTATTTATTTATTTATTTTATTTATTTATTTATTTATTTATTTATTTATTTATTTATTTATTTATTTATTTATTTA